GGGTGGGGGGGGGGGGGGGGGGGGGGGGGGGGGGGGGGGGGGGGGGGGGGGGGGGGGGGGGGGGGGGGGGGGGGGGGGGGGGGGGGGGGGGGGGGGGGGGGGGGGGGGGGGGGGGGGGGGGGGGGGGGGGGGGGGGGGGGGGGGGGGGGGGGGGGGGGGGGGGGGGGGGGGGGGGGGGGGGGGGGGGGGGGGGGGGGGGGGGGGGGGGGGGGGGGGGGGGGGGGGGGGGGGGGGGGGGGGGGGGGGGGGGGGGGGGGGGGGGGGGGGGGGGGGGGGGGGGGGGGGGGGGGGGGGGGGGGGGGGGGGGGGGGGGGGGGGGGGGGGGGGGGGGGGGGGGGGGGGGGGGGGGGGGGGGGGGGGGGGGGGGGGGGGGGGGGGGGGGGGGGGGGGGGGGGGGGGGGGGGGGGGGGGGGGGGGGGGGGGGGGGGGGGGGGGGGGGGGGGGGGGGGGGGGGGGGGGGGGGGGGGGGGGGGGGGGGGGGGGGGGGGGGGGGGGGGGGGGGGGGGGGGGGGGGGGGGGGGGGGGGGGGGGGGGGGGGGGGGGGGGGGGGGGGGGGGGGGGGGGGGGGGGGGGGGGGGGGGGGGGGGGGGGGGGGGGGGGGGGGGGGGGGGGGGGGGGGGGGGGGGGGGGGGGGGGGGGGGGGGGGGGGGGGGGGGGGGGGGGGGGGGGGGGGGGGGGGGGGGGGGGGGGGGGGGGGGGGGGGGGGGGGGGGGGGGGGGGGGGGGGGGGGGGGGGGGGGGGGGGGGGGGGGGGGGGGGGGGGGGGGGGGGGGGGGGGGGGGGGGGGGGGGGGGGGGGGGGGGGGGGGGGGGGGGGGGGGGGGGGGGGGGGGGGGGGGGGGGGGGGGGGGGGGGGGGGGGGGGGGGGGGGGGGGGGGGGGGGGGGGGGGGGGGGGGGGGGGGGGGGGGGGGGGGGGGGGGGGGGGGGGGGGGGGGGGGGGGGGGGGGGGGGGGGGGGGGGGGGGGGGGGGGGGGGGGGGGGGGGGGGGGGGGGGGGGGGGGGGGGGGGGGGGGGGGGGGGGGGGGGGGGGGGGGGGGGGGGGGGGGGGGGGGGGGGGGGGGGGGGGGGGGGGGGGGGGGGGGGGGGGGGGGGGGGGGGGGGGGGGGGGGGGGGGGGGGGGGGGGGGGGGGGGGGGGGGGGGGGGGGGGGGGGGGGGGGGGGGGGGGGGGGGGGGGGGGGGGGGGGGGGGGGGGGGGGGGGGGGGGGGGGGGGGGGGGGGGGGGGGGGGGGGGGGGGGGGGGGGGGGGGGGGGGGGGGGGGGGGGGGGGGGGGGGGGGGGGGGGGGGGGGGGGGGGGGGGGGGGGGGGGGGGGGGGGGGGGGGGGGGGGGGGGGGGGGGGGGGGGGGGGGGGGGGGGGGGGGGGGGGGGGGGGGGGGGGGGGGGGGGGGGGGGGGGGGGGGGGGGGGGGGGGGGGGGGGGGGGGGGGGGGGGGGGGGGGGGGGGGGGGGGGGGGGGGGGGGGGGGGGGGGGGGGGGGGGGGGGGGGGGGGGGGGGGGGGGGGGGGGGGGGGGGGGGGGGGGGGGGGGGGGGGGGGGGGGGGGGGGGGGGGGGGGGGGGGGGGGGGGGGGGGGGGGGGGGGGGGGGGGGGGGGGGGGGGGGGGGGGGGGGGGGGGGGGGGGGGGGGGGGGGGGGGGGGGGGGGGGGGGGGGGGGGGGGGGGGGGGGGGGGGGGGGGGGGGGGGGGGGGGGGGGGGGGGGGGGGGGGGGGGGGGGGGGGGGGGGGGGGGGGGGGGGGGGGGGGGGGGGGGGGGGGGGGGGGGGGGGGGGGGGGGGGGGGGGGGGGGGGGGGGGGGGGGGGGGGGGGGGGGGGGGGGGGGGGGGGGGGGGGGGGGGGGGGGGGGGGGGGGGGGGGGGGGGGGGTGGGGGGGGGTGGGGGGGGGGGGGTGGGGGGGGGTGGGGGGGGGGGGGGGGGTTGGTGGTGGGTGTGGGGTGTGGTGGGTGGGGGGTGTGGTGGGTGGGTGGTGTGGGGGTGGGGGTGTGGGTGTGGGGTGGTGGTGGGGGGTGTGGGGGTGGGGTGTGGGGTGGGGTGTGGTGTGGGGGGGTGGGTGGTGT